TTCACGAAGTGAGCAACACCTCTCCAGATGATAAATTATCAATTAAGAAGATACCAAGCATAAAGAGGAAAAGATTATACCTGAGAAGCATCTACAACAAGGAGTGCACCTTCACAGGCTGCAAGGGAGCGAGAAACCTGAAATTATTGTCAAATTCATATAAAATAAAAGGAAAAAAAATACACATTTTGAACTTTAAAACAGGAATTCAAATTTATAAAGATTTCTACATGAAAACAAAACAACACAAACTTGTGCAGACAGCCAGACAATGAGCGTTGAGACAATATTTTGTGTCTGCCAATATTGCCATTTATATTACCAAGGGAATGGGTTAATGGTCATTATGGGAGATGTAGAGCAGAGTGCAGGATATATGTAAAAAAAAAAAAAAAAAAATTAAAAAAAGAGGCACCAGGCAACCCTCTTTTGATTGCCTAAAGTTCCTACCACTCACCATTATTAAGGGGATAAATCATCAACAAACATCAATGCAACATTGAAACTTGAAGATAAATACCATGGCAAGTCACCAACTAGCAAGGCACAGTCAGCCACATACCTCATATGAGAAATCTACATGACCTGGAGTGTCAATAAGATTCAGGCAATATGGCTCCCCATTATACATGTAACGCATCCGAGAAGCCTGCAACAAGAGTTAAAAATTAATTCATCTCCTATGTTTGAGAATGATTCTAGGAATAGCAATGGAAGTATCTTTCACATGGTGCAAAGCCATGATCATATGCATGACATTTTGTAGTCCATACAAAAACTCAACTCTAAGTTAAAAGTTATAACTTATTCTTTAGAGTTTCTAAAGGCAGTTTGTATATATATCCAAAGTACTCATAAACCAACGGAGAATAGCCACACCATGGCTTGTCTCTTCCAAACCCCCATGCCCCCAAACCAAAAAAAAAAAAAAAAAAGATATCCCTTATCTCAACCCACTGCTTCATCATTACTTTGTTTCTCTTTCTTCACATAATTCAACAATTACTAAAATTATTTACAGTCTGGAAAACCTTCATATAACACGCACAGAAGGAACCATGTCTGCTGCAGATTACAACATGAGCCTAGGCTCACCAACCATGGTAAGCCAAAAAGCTGTTTAATTAAACTGCAACCAATATTCATTGCCTTAAAAATACATATCCATTAGTCCATTACAACTATAAATAATGTCCGTCAAGACTCGCATAACAACATCAACAAGGGTTTAGATAATACCAACTGTGATCATTATTCATCACTATAAAGTTTATTCTTTTTAAAAAATACATTCATTATACTTGTAAACAATGTTCATCAAGGCTCACATAACTACATTAGCCCGGGTTCACAGTATACCAATTACCAAGTTCATATTCCCTTGAACATTTTTTTTCTAAAACACTAATGCAATTACATGTAAAGGAATTTTCTTCCCTCCCACAAATGGGAGAATTATATGATTATATGAACCTGTAATTTGATAGTGATGCCTCTTTCTCGCTCCAAATCCATGTTATCAAGGAACTGTTCCTTCATATCTCGGCTCTCCACTGTCCCTGTCAGCTGCAGCAACTTATCCGCTAGCGTCGATTTCCCATGATCAATATGCGCTATTATGCAGAAATTCCTTATATTTGATATAGGAACCTACAAACAAATTCATTACAATTACAAAACAATAACAACAACAACAACTAATTGGTAAAATGGCGGACCTTCGAGAGACGGTCTTTGCCGGCGCGGGCGGCGAGTTCGAGGTCAGTGGCTGTGGCCTGGCAGTGGACGCGGAAGTTACGGCGGCGCGTTGAGTGAGCATTGTGTTTCCTCCTGTGGTTTGAGAAGTAGGTGAAGTTGAGGTTGGTGGTGCTGTGGTGGAGGCGGCGGTGCTGGTGTTGGTGGAGCGGAAGATGATAGGATGAGAGAGTGAATTTGGGGCGGCAAAAATTCGCGGTTGCCATTCGAAAGTGTGTAAAGGAATTGAAGTTTGTTTGGGTTTTCGTTATCTTGTCTGGTTTATAGTTATGGTCGTTCTGAGCCACAAGTAAAGGCAGCGGCCAAGAGGTTTTAGGCTATCGTCGGATTTTAAACGTTCTGCTATCAAGTTGTAGTCTAATATACATTTTTTTTCTTAATTTGGTTTGTGTGGCTTAAACAGTCTAGTTTTCCTTCATTCAATCCAAACAAAATATTAAATAATTTGTTTTAAATTTAATGGTGAAATGAGAATGAATTTTGTTCGTTTATAGCAAAAAAATTGGCATGAGATATATATTTAAATGGAAATTGACATGGCGTTTTCATAAATATGTAGCTTAAGACTTAAGAGAAAATTAAAACTGTGTTGGAAGAAAGAAATATCATTTTAGAATATTAAAAAAAAAAAAGTATGATTTTAGGAAGACCTATTAACATATGCAGAAATTTGAAGGGAAAATACAATTCAACATTATGAGTTAAATTTGTAATAAAGTTTAGCAGTCTAATTAACTTGACTGATATTGTAAGATTGTCCCATATTATTTTATATTCTACTCATGTATAATGGAGATGGGGGAGCCAAATACCCCCAAAAAATATGCGAACATCATTTTGTTTTGTTTTTCTTTATATTAAGTTTCACAATTAACTTATACCAGACTAATTCTAAACTTTTAGAATCCCTACCTAAGAGTTGCTAGATGAGGTAAATTATGAGTCGTCTCGTTAGTCTCCATGTTCCAACCTCACGCATGTATACTCTGTGTGATAAGTATAAAAGGAAATAAATAATTGGTTGCTTAATTTGGGGGAGTTTGAAAGGAAATAATAAATTAAGATGTGTAATAATCTAATAGGGTAGCTCAAGTGACAAATGATTTTTTTTTTTTTGTGGGGGAGAATTTCGGAATAACCTGAGTTCGATTTCTACAAGTGATTTTGGGCCAGCTCTTGGAGAAAGACACGGTTATATATTAGTAGAAGAAAATTATGTTATATTAGAATAAATCATTACCTTGTATAGTTAGAATTATTTTAATAGTCTAATCATTATAGGTGTTAGTAATATATATATATATATATATATATATATATATATATATTGTAATTGTATATGTATTATGAGAACCACATAGAGAAATTAAATATATTGCTCTTGTTCATGTTCTTTTTTAATTTTCTTATTCTTATTATTGGAGCTCTTATACGCTCGTATAAAATTGAAGTTTCACACGACTCAAATACGGTTAGGAACTAAAAATATGATATAAAAAAAAAAAAAGGTTTCTTATCTGTTACAAAATTATCTCTGGTCATAACATTGTACACAAGGAATTTGTATCACTGTTGATTGGCCAAGGTCTCTTAATGATCTCTCAAATTTTTAGTGGAATTAGAATCTCACATTGTCACTGTATAGTAGCAAAACTTTTAAAATAATAGGTATTTTATTTTCATTCACTCTTTAAATAAAGTTTGTCCATAGGAAACGAGACAAATTCAATATTAATTATCTAACAACCAAAGTATTGTTTTATTTGGTGTCCTTTTTTAAACATTATTTAAAAACAAATCAAACCATTATTTTCATGTGTTCCGCTCATTGTAGTAAATTAACATAATTTTTGAAAAAACTCTGTGTAATTTTATCTAATTTTACTATTTAATCTAAATAAAGGTTATTATAATTATCAAATTTGAAATAATATGGTTACGATATTTTTAACTTATGTAGCATCTGACTAGTGTCAGGGATGTTGTTGATGTGCGATTTATACAAAATACTCGTAAATAATTGACATGTCAATATGGTCAAGTAAGATTAGAGCATTAGGGTAACCACAATAGTTGCTTGAATATGTCAAGTCTTTTGCAGTGGCGGAGCCAAAGAAAGAGACAACAGTTCAATCAACATGTGCAACTGATAGTCTGATCTGATACCCTAAGAAAGAGACAATGCAACAGTTCCAACGTTCAATCAACATGGAGAGGTGCCCGTAGACTAAAGTTCAAGGGTTGGATCATTAACTTTGGTATAGAGTAATTTTAAATTAAATTTTCAGACTAACTATTTTACTTTATAGATGTACCTATAATTTAGCGAGAAGATGAATCATTGTATTTCTACAGTGAGAACTCTGGACTACACCCAAAAAACTCAGCATGGAGAGAGGTATAACTACATATATATAGTTTAGTACGTGACAACCAAACTCAACTCCAAAAATAAAAAAGCTATTCCAAGAGTCCAAGCAACTTTTTTCAAAAAAAAAAAAAAAGAAATTATACCAAACAGCTATCCGCTAACAGTTAATTTATCAAATATTTTTCTAAAATCAGCTAATGTTATCAACTAATTATGGCCCTGTTTGGTAAAAAATTGGCCTATAGGCCAATTTTGGCTTATTTAACCACTATTAATTGTTTGATTTAGTTAAAATATCAATAGAAATGTTTGGTTAATTAGCTTTTTGCAACTCCAAAAGGCTAAAATTCAAAAAGCTACTCCAAACAACTTTTTCAATTAGCTTTTTGAGAAAAGAAATTATATCAAACAGCTATCAAGTAACAGCTAATTTATCAAACACTTTTCTACAATCATCTAATTTTATCAACTTTTTATACCTTTTAATTAACACAATCAGCTAACAAACAGCTATCAGCTAACAGTCATTTTACCAAACAGGACCTATACCTTCTAAATAACACAATCAGCTAACAGTTAACAGTCATTTACCAAACAGGGCCAAAGTTTTAGAGAGACTCAACATATTTTTCATTTTCACACATAAATATATATTAACAACCAACTTAATTAAGCCACACACAATTCACTACTTTATCCATAAACTAACTTCAGTGAGTTAAGTCTATGTGAACATAATTAAATTAGCTAGTTATAAGATGATTCTATTATAATAATAATAAGTACATATAGGTATGGTTGTATACTTGTATCAGCAGCCTAGCTTCTATAAAGAGCAGCAATACCTGGACACAATAAAGTATATGAAAAAGAGGCCAGGTTAGGTGAGAGAGAAATAGAAAGAAACTAAAAGAAAAGAAAGAAGATATGGGTGGTGAAAAGAGCAGAATAGTGATATTTGGAGGAACAGGGTATCTGGGCAAATTCATGGTCAGAGCAAGTGTATCCTCCGGCCATCCGACGTATGCATATGTCCGGCCGGTGTCGCCGGATTCCGGCGCCTCTAAGCTCGAGCTGCTCAAGGAATTTGAGAAAATGGGCGTCACCATAATTCAAGTCTATTTCTAATATTCCATCTTTTTAGTTAATTAATATAATTGGATCTTCTCCTTCTTCTTCTTCTTTAGTAATACTTATATACATTATATTCTGGTTTTTATTATATATATTTTTTGCAGGGAGAGCTGAGTGAACACGTGAAACTGGTGTCAACAATGAAAGAGGTGGATGTAGTGATATCTGCACTAGCTGTTCCTCAACACCTTGATCAGCTCAAAATAATTGATGCCATTAAAGAAGCTGGCAATATCACGGTCATCATCCTATCTCTCCTCCCTACCTAATTTTATACACACTTAATTTGGTAATTACGAGATTTCAATATAGACTTTTCATGAAAACTGTCTATTTGCCTATTTGGCCTTTTTAGTTTAAGCTAGTCAGCTATAAGCAACCTAGCTAGGCTGGTTTACCTCTTGTAGTTCTTTGCTGGCTAGATTCACAAGGTGAGCTTTACACAAAGCCCACTTTCGAGTGCAGATTTTTCCGTTAATCAAAGTTTTTTTATATTCTTAGGATGGTTAGTTGCATATATATGAAATTAAATTTGGTTTGGAGTACAGAGATTTGTGCCATCGGAATATGGGAATGAAGTAGAGAGGGTGAGAGGGCTGCCACCTTTCCAAGTGCTACTTGATAACAAGAAGACAATAAGGAGGGCAACCCAGGCTGCCGGAATACCATACACGTTTGTGTCGGCAAACTCTCTCACTGCATATTTTGTGGAGTATTTGTTACATCCATCGGAAAATCCACAACAACTCTCTATTTACGGCACCGGGGAAGCCAAAGGTACTTTTTTTTTTTTTTTTTTTTTTTTGGGTGAAGAAGCCAAAGGTACTACCATACTATACGCTACATTTGCTTATAATTAGCTTCTATTACTATATTTATTGCATACACCAACGGCAGCCAGCCAACCTTAGCTTAACATTTCCAAATAAGTAATCGACCATATAAGTAATATTAGGTGGGGTATTGCCATTGCCATATATATATAAAAGAAAAGAGAAGAAAAAGACATTTTTAATCTTTAGATATAACACTTTATGTTTCTCAATTATGCAGTTATCACTTTTCATATCACCCGTCAATTGTTTTTTTGTTCTCTAATTTTTGGAGAAGTGACTTTTTTAAAACCCAACCGCTCCCAACAAAATTCAGATGAAAAAAAAATAAAAATTTAAAGACAATTGATTGACAAAAAGTGAGAATGAGTGTAATTGGGAGACAAAAAATGTTATATATTCCCATGTAATTCATAGATGACGAATTAATTTTTAAATTTAATTTTTGTGTTTAATAGTACTTTTAGTGTAGTTTCTAAATATATAAATTTTTTTATACTAATACTAAACTTAATATTCTGAAAAAATACCTTCAATCAAACATTATTAACTGAATCAGATACATATAAAATGGGACGGAAAGAGTACTATTGATCAAATGTAATAAGAAAGATTGATATTTAAAAGTAAATTTAGCCAATGAAAGCAACATAAATCTTATTATATAATTATTATATTTTCCATTGTTTATCTGTGTATATTGTCAGATCATTTGTAATATACTTTTTTTGGGAGAATGGAGACCAATCTTTTTCTATCAATTTAAATGGTTGAGGGGATATTGGTGGAGCCACTCTCTATCTTCCAAAGAGAATGGTTTATGGATATACAAGGATAATGAAGCAATTTTTATTTTTTCTTAATATAGATAGTCAAAATTTTCTATATATAATTAAAATTTTTGTTGGTTAAAAAATTCTTAATTTGATCTCTCTCAACCATTTTCGACTCGTTATTTAACGACTTGTTCTTCCAAAACCATTATATTGTGCATTTATTAACTATAATAAATGCAAACCACCAAAACTTGGTAGGAAAATATTGTGCATTTATTAACTAGGGAATTTTTTATTTTTTATTTTTCACTTTTTTGGAGAAAAGATAAGAGAAAATGGATTGTGGTAAATGAGGTATTTGGTAAATACTTGTTAGCTTATAAGTGTTAGTTGATTGGATTAGTGGGTTTGACTAGTTGATAGCATTAGCTGATTGTAGAAAAGTGTTTGGTAAATTAGCTGTTAGCTGATAGTTGATTACATACAAAATGACTTTATCAAAAAACTGATTGAAAAATCTTTTGAGCAGCTTTTTGAATTTTAGAATTTTGAAACAATAAGTTGTTACAAAAAACTAATTAACTAATTAAACACTCATATTGATCGTTTAACCAAGTTAAACAACTAATAGTGGTTAAATAAGTCAAAATTGTCTGTTAAGCTAACTATATGTTAATTACCTGACCAATGTATTTTTTAAAATTGTAAAAGAAAAGCAAGAGAATTAAATTAAATCCATAATTTTACTATTGTATAGTTGGTATATATCTTTGGTTCTTATCTATCTACACGAAGAGTTTGTATGGAGACGTAGTTTAATTAATTATTATATTGAGGTGTTGAGGGGCAATTAGTAGGAACCGAAGAAGATTACGTAAACGTGAACATGCATAATATAATATAATCTCCCGACCAAACAACAGATTTTTCGTGATTTAAGGTGGATAGGGACCGAAGATCATATCAAGAGTAGGTAAAGATAGATACATGCATGCATACATATATAACCCAAAATTACAGTTTTGGGTCCATGCATGCATTTATACTGTACTGTAAATATATATTTAATTTATATATGCAGCCGTGTTAAACTACGAGGAGGACGTGGCGGCTTACACCGTGAAAAGTGCGGTGGATTCAAGGGCACTCAACCGCGTCCTCATCGTACGACCACCTAAAAATGTGGTGTCCCAACTGGATTTGGTGTCCTCCTGGGAGCACAAGACTGGCCGGAAAATCAAACGGAATCACATCTCCGAACAAGACCTCATCAACATGTCCCAGGGTAATTAAGCTGCACCTCTTGGATCATGTGATTGGATTTTTCTTCTTTAATTTTTTAAAAGTAGCAGTGGGGTGTTTTAATTTGTTGTTGCAGGATTGCCTTTCCCGGAAAACATCCCGCCGGCGATCCTCCACAACATATTTGTGGCCGGAGCACAGGTGAGCTTCCAACTGGGGGAGAATGACTTGGAGGCTTCAAAGCTCTACCCTGACTACAACTATGCTAGTGTGGATGACTACCTTAATCTCTGTGTCGTTAATCCTCCAAAGCCCAAGTTGGCTGCTTTTGCCTAGCTACTATAAATCAACTACTCTACAAAACAAATTTATATATATATATATATATATATATATATATATATATATATATATATATATCATAAATAAATTAAAAATACCAGTGTTCTTATACATATATGGGAGGGTTTAGGCAATCGAGACCATGTTTCATGTGAAAAACAATGATTGATCTGATCTAGATACATCAATGGTTGAGAAATAGTGAGAATTGACTCCAAGTAAAATTTAGTACTTGACCGACCATTGATGAATCATGATGAGAGACAAAGATTGGGGTCATCATCTTTAATTTACAATAGAGTTGTTATAAATATGTATGTATATGTGTATGTACTTTGCTTAGCTTGGACTGTAATTAACTAGCTTGGTGCCACATGCATCAGTTTGTGTGTTCACATGCGATAAGATTTTACTAGTGTTTTGTTTGTGCTTATTCAAATTCAAATTTATTTTTTTTTCATGTGTATGTGTATTGCTTTTAGAGTGGGTTTGGTAGTTAGACAAAGTTTTTGTTTTTATTAATAATTTTTTAAAAAGGTGAGGAATTATTCACACATTTGGTACAATTTTACTAAGAAAATTTGGATTAAATGTGATTTAAATTTAATGATACCGGGTGACGAGAATGTATAATTTTTTTTTTCAATTATGTATTTTTTTTTTGTTTTGTTCTTTTTTTGTTTTTTTTTCTCTTTTGCGTCAGGTTAAAAATCACTTATGAATATAAGAAATTTATCAATCCCACATTCTCACCATCACAAAATATAACAATATCTACTATCTATCTACTATACTATATATATATATATATATATATATATATATATATATATATATATATATATATATATATATATATATATATATCTACTATATATATATATATATACTAATAAGAGCCCAAGAGAGTTAGGCCTATAATGGGTAGAAAAAATGGCGGTCACAGATTTTAATTAAATGAATGGCTCAGATTGATTAAAAGATTAATAAGATTTAAATTTTACACTAAAATTTCCTAAAATACCCACACACCGTTACTAATTCCGTTAAAATTTTAAGAATTGCCGTTAGTTCACCGTTAATTTACTCATTGATTTCAATAAAAAAAAAAAAGGTCTTAGGTTCGAACCTCATCCCAATCAAAGTTTGCATAATTAGTACTCTATTTTACTCTTATTAAATTATATAAATAATAATTTAGTAGCTACAACAAAAAATATTAGATATGTAATAGGGCCAGTAACATTCAAAAAAAAAATTTAGAATTATGTGTCCACAATGCCTTTATTAAAAAAAAATTATTCATTATCAATAAATTAAATAAGAGAAATAATTGTATTAGTTATATTGTCTTTATTTTTCTACAATATAAAAATTCTTTATATTCAAATTTATTAATTGATTATATTCGCTACATTGTCTTTACAATGTCTTAATTCAGTGAAAAAAAATTATTCATTATCAATAAATTAATTAAGAGAAATATTTTCATTAGTTATATTGTCTTTATTTTTCTCAAATGTAAAAATTTTTACATTCAAATTCATCAATTGATTATATTCACTACATTGTCTATTATCTTTTTTGTGCACTATTTTTTTAATTAAATATCAAAGTTATAATACAAAATAATGCTATATATTTATTTACCAAGTATTTTATTAATACCATGAAAAAAAAAATATAATTAATAAAGCCAACCATATTAACTACTTGAGAGATTTTGTGACAAAGAGAGTATTCAAATCACACAACAAATTGAAGTGAGAACTACCTTGCAATGTCCTTGTTTGACAATCAGCAGTTAGCGAATTATATTAGCGGATTTGACCAACGAATTTATTTAATTATTAACATTGGGTAGAAAAAATGATCGCCAAATTATTAAATCAAATGAATGGTTCAAATTGTTCAGGTTTTAATTTTTTTTTTAAAGTTGTTCTAATTTATCCTTAATTATATGATTATCCATTTAACTTTTCCGTTAAATACCGTTAATTCACCGTTAGTCTAATTCTAATATTAACATCTAATATAGAATTATAATTACACCATTAATCTAATTCTAATATTAAAGTCTTAATAGAACTTAACCACAAATCCTAATGTCGAAATCTCCTCAAACAATATTAGTATATATTTAATATTTTATGCCCTAATTTTTATTTGTTCTCCCTTATGTCCCGTATTTGGTTTCAACCATACCTATGCAATTATTTTATTGACAATTATAATCAATCTTGACTATATTATCTTGCATTTGTAAACTTAGAATTACCTATTTAACCCGCACGGGCTTAGCTCAATAGTTTAGTGGGTAGTATTTGGGAGAAGAGACCAAGGTTTGAACCTCGGCGGAGGCAGTGCGGGAATTATGTCCAAAGTGGGCAGATTCCTTGTTCGCACCGGTATTTGGTCCTGTCTGCTGAACCATTGAGTCACCGTGATTTACAACTTCCCACAATGCTCTGTCGGGTCGGAGTGTGGGGGACCCTTGGGGTTGGGGACTCAACCTTTGGGAGAAGAATTACCTATTTAAATACGCAAATCCAACCTTCAATTATCTATGCATGAACAATTTCAATATAATCTTGCCTTAATATACTTTAAAGTACTTATTTAAAAAAAAAACATTGGGCATTATCCCAATCGCGCAATGCGCGTAAAAAACTAGTATACTAATAAGAGCCCAAGAGAGTTAGGCCTATAATGGATAGAAAAAATGGCGGTCACAGATTTTAATCAAATGAATGGCTCAGATTGATTGAAAGATTGATCAGATTTAAATTTTACACTAAAATTTCCTAAAATACCCACACACTGTTACTAATTCCGTTAAAATTTTAAGAATTGCCGTTAGTTCACCGTTAACTTACTCATTGATTTCAATAGAAAAAGGTCTTAGGTTCGAATCTCATCCCAATCAAAGTTGACATAATTAGTACTCTATTTTACTCTTATTAAATTGTATAAATAATAATTTAGTAGTTACAACAAAAAATAATACATATGCATTTCTTTAATTTATAATTATGTGTCCACAATGCCTTTATTCAAAAAAAAAATTATTCATTATCAATAAATTAACTAAGAGAAATAATTTTATTAGTTATATTGTCTTTATTTTTCTTCAATATAAAATTTTTTTATATTCAAATTTATTAATTGATTATATTCGCTACATTATCCTTACAATGTCTTTATTCAGTGAAAAAACAATTATTAATTATCAATAAATTAATTAAAAGAAATATTTTCATTAGTTATATTATCTTTATTTTTCTCAAATAATGCTATATATTTATTTACCAAGTATTTTATTAATACCATGAAAAAATTTAAAAAATATAATTAATAAAGCCAATCATATTAACTACTTGAGAGATTTTGTGACAAAGAGAGTATTTAAATCACACAACAAATTGAAGTGAGAACTACCTCGCAATGTCCTTGTTTGACAATCAACAGTTAGTGGTTAGCGTTAGCGGATTATACTAGCGGATTTGACCAGCGAATTTATTTAATTATTAACATTGGGTAGAAAAAATGACCGCCAAATTATTAAATCAAATGAATGGTTCATATTGTTCAGGTTTTAATTTTTTTCTTTTAAGATTTTCTAATTTATCTTTAATTATATGATTATCCATTTAATTTTTTCGTTAATTCACCGTTAGTCTAATTTTAATATTAAAGTCTAATATAGAATTCTAACTACACCCATTAATCTAATTCTAATATTAAGGTCAAAGAAAAGCATTGGGTATTATCCCAATCGCGCAATGCGCGTAAAAAACTAATTGTTTATATAAGAACTTTGTTTCTTTTATCTTGTTTGTTCTTTTGTTTTGGGTAGGATGCACGTGTCTCTATGGTCTATAGACACACACACACTAGTTGTAGACACGCACCATGTATGATTGAATAATATTCAATTGAAAAATAAAATAGTTAGTAAAATTAAATGCTCGAAATAATTTAAAAACACATAAATCTTATAAATATTAGAAAATGAAATTTTAAATTTTGATGATAACAAATATTATTATCTAGCATAAATTTTTTTTTTTAAAAAAAATGCATTGAACATAATAGATTTTGTGTTAAAAAAAATGATTTAGCTTTTAGCAAATGCAATTAACTTTTCTTATAATTTATTATAGAGAATACTCATTTTGGTCCCTCAACTATTGAGTATTATTTAATTTAATCCATGACTTTAAAAATTACCCAATTTGCTTATCTGATTTTAAAAATCGCACTCAATTTGATCATTCGTTACAAAATCCATCTAAAGGCTATTAAGTCAAAGGGTAAAATAGTCCATCCATTATGTTTCACCCTCTTTCTTAGGCGTGTCTCGTTGCACCCCTTCCTCAAGGTAAAATGAAATATTTGATAATATATACTCGCTCTGCCTCGTTTTATATGTTCTACTTAATATTTATTGGTTAAACAAACTCTTTTTTCTTTGTTTATTTCTTATAGTATTTTTTTTAAATTATTTTTAAATTTAATTTTTTATGTGTTTAATATTATTTTTAGTGTAGTGTCTAAATATATAAATTTCATATATTAATATTAAACTTAATATTATGAAAAATTAAATTAAAAATAATTTATTTTCAAAAAAAATTTAAAAATAACTTCAGTCAAGTCTCGTTAATGATTCAGTCACGTAAAATGGGATAGGGAGTAAAGTCAAGTCTCGTTAATGATTCAGTCACGTAAAATGGGATAGGGAGTAAAATTGGTCTAATTAAAATACAAGCAAGGTGGACCGGGCAAATGTATTCACCGCCGTTGCCGCCGCATTGTTGGTTAAAGATATGTAGACAGAAACATTAACCCACGGCTGCGCCGCTGGTTCGCAATCCAGCGCTCAATCTGCAAGTTGACTTTACAACAGCATACGCAGTAGGTTACTAGATTAGTTACAACACACATCGCTCGTCCAGCACAAATCTTGACCAAAATGAAGACAACTCTCGTTTCTTCCTTCTTCTTCCTTCTACTGATTTTCACATCCGAATCGCAGCGATCTCCGCCGGAAGTATGCATACTCGGCAGCGGGATCGGCGGCTCCTCCGTCGCGCATTTCCTCCGCTCCTATTCCAATCCATCCCAACCCGAAATCGGCTCCATAAGAGTCATTGAGCGCCACGCTGTCGTCGGCGGCCGCATGGCCACGGTCACCATCGCCGGGGATACCTTCGAGGCCGGCGCCTCCATTCTTCACCCGAAGAACTACCACGCTCGCAATTTCACTAACTTCCTCAATCTCAACGTCAAAACCTCGTCATCCGAATCCGATTCCTCGTTTGGCATCTGGGACGGCAATAAATTCGTCTTCAAAACCATGTCTTCCAACTCCAAGCTCCCGATTCTTCAGAAGCTCGTGTCTTTCGCCAATTCGGTTCTCATTTTTCTTCGTTACGGGTTCTCACTATTTCGGATGGAAAGTTTTGTCGAGGTGCTCCATCATTTCTCCACTTCATCACCTCCCTATATAAGCTTAATTGCCTCTGTATGTGTATTTTCCCAGTTAATGCTTGAATTGTCTCAACAGGGTGCTGTGAATGGTTTCTTGAAGTACTATGAAGGGTTCGAATCTCGACCGGCGTTTGAGGATGTCGAGGAAATGCTCAAGTGGTCGGGGCTCTATAATTTGACAACACGGACATTGGAAGAGGAGTTGACCGATGCTGGCTTATCTACTACACTTATTCAAGAGCTTGTCACTGTAAGTAAAGAAAAACAGTTCCAATCACATTGATTTAGCGGCCCATTAGTGGAAGGAACCACCACATTGGGACGGATACCCCACAAATATGTATAAAATGATACTTTAATGTTGTTATAATGAACTTATTGTGTGTATAGAATGAAATGAATAGCAGACCTCATACAAATATGTATATTGTGAAATGAACCTATAGTAGAATTAAAATGACATTTTAGTGTTGCTATAATGAACTTATTGTATGTATAAACTGAAATTGAATAGCAGAGCTCATACATGTATGCATATTGTCAAATGAACTTGTTGTGGAATTAAAATGATTTGTGTTGCTATAAAGAATTTCTTGTGTGTATAAAATGAAACTAGATAGGAGAGTCATGAAGTATAATTAAAATGATATTTCAACATTACTATAATGAAACTAGTGTGTGTGGAAAGTGAAACTCAAGCTTTGGTCTTGTGTCCTTGCCCACAATTTACCATCCAAGAACCGACTGAGCTGCCTGTGTGAGCAATTTGTTTGTTCTCTGTAGTAATGCAAGACTGCTTTTTTCTCTTTATGTCTGTAGTTTTGTATTGATTTGTTGTGTACTTGTGTTGTATGGTCAAAAAAACTACTTGCTTTATGTGAAATCAGTAGTTTAAACCTGGGCATTCCCATCAAATTGATGTGCAATATGAGATTGAAGCAAAGATGAGTCTAAAATGTGATTTGGGTATTCACCTTTCTCTTCCTCTATTGAAGACAGATCTGTAATGTCTCAGAGACAGAACATGAGTGACATCTTTTCTTGTACAGGTTATCACAAGAATCAATTATGGGCAAAGTGTCTCTATGAGTGCTCTTGCTGGTGCTGTCTCACTGGCAGGATCTGGGGGAGGTTTATGGTCGGTTGAAGGGGGAAATTGGCAGATGGCAGCTGGATTGATCAATCGTTCGAATGTTGAATTGCACCTCGGTGAAGAAATAGAATCTGTCTCTTATTTGGGAGAGCGTTACGAACTCAATACAACAAAGGGAGCGAGTTACTTGTGTGAAGTTGTGGTGGTTGCTACACCCTTGGATGAATTGAACATTCGTTTTGCACCTGAAATTTCAATCCCCGAGAGGAAATTACAGCACACACACACAACTTTCGTTCGGGGTCTCTTAAATCCTGTGAGTACAGTGTGATCTGATAATTTGACTCATTTCCTTGATGCTTTTTCATTGCGTGCTCCTCTCTTTACCATAGTCAACTAACTACTGATTTTATGTTTCGCTTTTGCAAGTCTTATTTTGGTTTGAAGTCAGTATCATATATTCCTGAGTTGGTGGGCACGATAGAGACTTCTGAAGTTCCATTTTCAAGTATCTCGGTTCTCAAGCAATACAGCGAGCAAGATATGACCTATAAAGTGTTCTCACGGAGTTATATGGAAGATGATTTGTTGGATCTCATCTTTAGGTAAAAATTTTATTTTTGCCCCCTCCCTCTCTCTTTATGCTACTAACTTTTTTGCTATGTTTAAAGTTTAAAAATCCCAATTAATCAACTTTAATTTTGTAACTGAATTGCATCTGGTTTTTGTAGTCTACAACTTGTTAATGTGTAGCCCTATCTTGCATTAAAGGGGAACTAGGGCAAAACACTAAACTCATGTCATATTGAGAAGTGTCTTCATGGCTGCTGGTCATTTGGGGGCGAACAATAATGAAATTGGGTATTGAGTTGGTTTTCAAAAGTCAAAAAAAACTTTTAAATAAATCCCAACATGTTGTTTTCGTGCATCGAAACCCAAAACTCTATTATTGACTTGTAATAGCTTGTTACTAGGGTTCCAGCGAGACTCCGGCTAACTCTGACCCGGTGACTGATGAACTGTTGCCAGTTGCCTTTGAAGAAGGCAACCATCTGATCACCTTCTAGGTGAAAAGGTGACCAGTGCTGATGAGAAGGTGACCACTCGCATTCTTCAAAGGCAACCGGCGACTGTTCGTCAATCACCGGTGTCGGAGCGTCTCACAGGAACCCTAGTGACTCGGCTATTATAGGAACCGGTTTTAAACTTGTAGATGACAAAGGAAAATGACTATGTTTCCTTGAATTTGTTGAGATTGTTTTAGCCATACACGGGGTGAACTACAATCCAAGTTTATGTTTCTACTCTTGTACCCTGCTTTAACCCCCTCAACCTTGATCAACTACCTGTTTTCTTTAAATCTAACTCTTGCTTTAATTCTTGCAGTGTAAGAAACGAAACACTCAAAATAGACTGGGCTGCATACCCGCATTTTAACGCTCCCGAGGTGTTTGCACCTTTTATGTTGGACAGTCAACATCTGTACTATGTGAATGCCTTCGAGAATGCGGCCAGCACCATGGAAACCAGCGCTGTATCAGCTGAAAATATAGCGCGGCTAATCCTCTCGAGACTCGCTGACCAAGCACACATGACTTCTTCCGACTTGGAGAGTGCCGGTGATGACACATCCAAAATGCATGCTGAGCTGTAAGCTGGGAAGGGCTTCACATCACCATGTATCTTTTGTGCTAGTGTAAATTTTGCTAAAGTAGGCTATGCCTAAAGCTGTATACTTGAATGTGTATGTACATATACTAATAATTTGAGCCACTTTTGTGTTTTCACAGTAATAATATGATCAGTGTGTTAATATCTCACCACTTTCATCCTTGCCAACAGGTTGGAGTTTCTTTTTCCTGGGTGCTGAATCCATGAAGAGCTTAGCCAAAAACAAGATAAATATTCCAGGATTTAATACACACCATTCTTTATTTATATGATGAACTGTATAGACAACAATTTTACATATAACACAGCCTAAAATGAGTATTACATATCACACAGCCTAAAATCTATGTACGATATAACTAATAATTTAACATATCACATACCTTAATTTATGATTTTATGTAATGCATATTTGTTTTCCTAAGACTTAGACCCCACCAATCTACTAATTATCATTCTTTGTATTCCCATTCTCCTTTGCATTTCCATTTTCTTTTACATTTCCATTTTCTGTAACCGAGCTTTCTGCTTTCTTGTTGTCTTCTGCTGCTTGTTTCTTCTTTCTGTCTTCCTCTTCCTTTGCAGCCTTGATTCTCTCTTCTTCCTCGGCTTTTAACCTTGCTTCTTCTTTTGCAGCTTCGAGAGATTTAATCAATCTCTTCAGGCAGGTGTCTGCTTCCTCTCGAGCAGACTTGGGCATTAAACTCTCAGCAACATCAGCAGGGGTGATTTTAGTTTCCCCGAGCAAACGTTTGATTTCTGGAAATAGTTGGTGAGATTCAACGTCCAGATAGTTGTTTACCAGCACCTTGAAAGCTTCAAAGCAACAATAGGACAGCTCGATACGGTTGTCCATCCTCCCTCTCCGTACCAGAGCAGGATCGAGCTTTTCAGGGTAATTTGTGGTGAAAACTATGATTCTTTCTTCTCCAATGGCTGACCAGAGTCCATCGATGACATTTAGAAGACCGGATAGAGTCACCTCACTGCCCTTCTTCTTCTCTATTTCCTTGAGTAAGTCCTTCTTGATTGGATCTTTCTCTTCTTTTTCCTTGTCTTTCTCTTCTTCCTTCTTCTCCCTCTGCCCTGTTAAGTCAAGAGAGCAATCGATATCTTCGATCACTATGATGGACTTATCTGAAGTTTCTATCAACAGCTTCCTCAGATCGCTGTTATCCTTCACCGCAGTCAACTCAAGATCATACACATCGTAATTCAGAAGGTTGGCCATGGCGACAATCATGCTAGACTTTCCTGTTCCAGGCGGGCCATAGAGGAGATATCCACGCTTCCAGGCCTTTCCTATCTTGGTGTAGTAGTCCTTTGACTTGCTGAAGTTGAGAAGCTCGTCCATGATTTCTTGCTTCCGGGTTGGTTCCATAGCCAGGGTTTTAAAAGTGGAAGGATGCTTGAAGATAACATGGCTCCATTTGGTACTCCTCCACCCATGCCAGTGATCACTCTTGTTGTTGGTGTAAAGCTTCCGCTTCCTTTCCCTCACAGCCATGGCTTCTCCCTCGTCCAAAACATGTTTCAGGTAAGACCGTGTAATGATGTCTCGATTCTTCCTATGAAACTTGAGCTGGAAATACCTCTTCTCGTCCTCCCTAGGAAAGTACGAGATTGTCTGTCCCCTGGGTGGGTTTTGGTTGGAGCTCCACCACACCTTAATCCCTTTGTACTCTTCCACCACCTCCTCGTGGTCGTCCATGCTGAGAATCACCGGCTGGCTGCTATCCTTCACGCCTTTCGCCACCAGGCGCTTAGCATTCTCGGAGGAATTGTTGCCCAGGTACCTCTCTATCGCCACGAACACTTTGTTCCTGTCGAAGAGGCTGGCGAACGAGCCATCCCCTTCGAACTCATGGAAAGTTATGTGGATGTATGGGTAGAAAAAGCAGTAAACTTTCTGAGCATAGGTGAAGATATAGATTTTAAGTTGAGGCGGGAAGTAGTTTCGGTACAAGGACCAGATGAGCATGAATGTTGCGATTGAAGAGCCTAGTTGAGGCCAGACATCCCCCATTATCATCATGTTTCTTGAATTCCTAGGTTTAGGAATGAGTTTATAATGGATTTGAGGATGTTTTAGTGGGTGGCTTAATTAGCACCTGCTTAAGTGCTTATATAGAGAAGCAGAGGAATAAATAGTTGGAAATGTAATGTAATGACGTCGCTGTGATAACCTCAGGGAAGGTTAGGTGAGTCAAAATTTTTGGTTTATCTTAATCTCATGTTGATTGTTGAATATAATTGTTGGATATTGGAAGACTTGGGGTTGTGATTTATCACTAGTTGATCAATATAAATAAGAACAAATTTAGGTACAATGCTAGTAAAGGCCCCTTTGATCAAATTATGCGTTGACAAGTTCAACATAGTTCGAGTATGATTCTTGTACTCGAAAATTATAAGTTTAATTTCTGTCAACACTCTCACAGTTGAGTACGTTACACAGAGTTTTTTTAGTATGATTTGCTGATACACTTATGGTGTAATGTTATTGCAGTTATTGTGGGATAATCACTATTCTAGGTATTTTATGAGTAATTATAACAAGTAATGTGATACTGGATGGTTAAGGCGTAGTGGGTTATATGATCATGTATATATATAGCTACCATGTAAATGTATATGGCACTGGAGAATAATTGAATTTGTCTAGAGACATTCCTTTTTTTAACTCTCTTTTTTTGGAGTTGGGCTGCCACTCGAAAATAGTCATGTCTCTTCTCTCCTTACTTTATGAAGTTTAGCCCTCGACTTGAATAAGAGCATCCCCATACAACATTTGGGTTGTATCAATTGGTGCTCTCATTAAGAGTATCTCCTAAAAAAAATTATTTTCATGTTTGAGGCAAGAAAATTATATACATATATACATACATATATATATATATATATATATATATATATATATATATATATATATATATATATATATATATATATATATATATATACACACATATATATATATACCTATGTAAATGTGTAAGGCATTGAAGAATATATCGACTTTGTCTGGAGACACATTCCTTTTCGTATCTCTCTTTTTTGGTGTTGGGCTGTCACTTGAAGTACAGTCATGTCTCTTCTCTCCTTACTTTCTGGAGTTTAGTTCTTGACTCGAAGAAAAGCATTTCTATACAACCTAGGATTGTATCAATTACTTTTTTATCCAAATATCTAAGTATACCAAAAAAAGTTACAAGTTCAATTCTTATTAATATTATTTTAGTTGAACTTAAAGCTAGTTTGGTTCACTGAAAAATATTTGAAGAGAAATAGAATTGAATTCTATGGAAAATGGATTCCATTTGTTTGGTTGAGTTTAGAAAGGTAAGGAATAATGAAGATAAAGACCAATATACTCTTAAAAAGATAAATGAATAAATAGGTACCTCGTACCTATGTAATTAAGAAACTTTCATAAGGGTAAAATGGTTCAGTCATGTTATTTTCTTTCCCAAGCCTTGAGGAAAACAAAATCCCACCGCTTTGCAAAGAATTCATTTTCCTCAACTTGGAAGAATTCATTTCCTTTGGAATTTCATTGTTTAGTTGAATTTGAAATTGTAAGAAATAATGAGTATAAAGACAATTATACCCTTACACAATAATACAACAATAATAATAGTAATTAAAAAAGTTGGTGATGACATAATTGTCCCCCTTGTTTTCCATGGAAAACAAAATACCAAGGGGGACCAAGGAAAATGTTTTTCATCCAATCAAACAAAGGAAAATCTAGTTTCCTCAAATTTAAGGAAAACATTTTCCATACCACCAAACACCTAAGGAAACATTTTTTCCTGAAAAATGTTTTCCATCCAACCAAACACCTCCTATGTAGTTTTCAGGTTATAGTAATGTCAGATTTCGCCACCTACAAAAATAAATACATTTAGAAAAGGGACTTTCGTAATATTACATAATGTTTTTGGTGAAATTGGAACCCTAGCTAGTATTAGGTCAATTATAAGTCATCATCCGTTCGTATATACAATATAAATATATAATGACTTTTAGAATTTACGAGCTGAGGAGTCTAATTTGACTATGCTCATGCAGCTCAGGGATCATGAAAACAAAAAATTGGGATACAAATTACAAAACAAGGAGAAACGACAAATTATATTTGACTAAATAAATATGTAACTTAGGAACTAAGTAGGTTGCTAATATAATTGTATGATCAGTTCTTATGGTATTTATGTGCTATTTTAAAGAATTCTATAATAGGTATTATTTTAAATAAGAATTAATTTTTGCCGGCATGAATTGTGTTAAATAAAACCAAACACCTAAGGAATTAATTTTAAACATTTTCCATACAACCAAATAGTTTTGTTACTTTTTTTTTTTTTTTTTTTTCTAATTTTTTATTGGACGTTACTCTAATTCGTCGTAAATAGGAAACAAAATAATCCTTATGTCGGATTGGTTAATGTTTTAATTTTAATAATATGAATCATCTCCTTGTTTGTTTGTGATTAAAAGGCAATTAGGTTATGGGCGCTCCCTATTTCTTGGTAGCCAACTTCGATTTTGATTACTTCTTCCTAATAAATCCACTGTCTGCTAATTGTTAAACATATTTATGGTAATATAAGGCCAATGGACACTCTTATACTAAATAAATTAATTAAAAAAACAGAACAAAACAAAAAGAACGACTTGGCGTTCGTTGCCGGGTCCTCGTCTTCTCAGCTTGTAATATTGATTTTTATTTGTAGAATAGGATTCCAGCTGGAAATGGCTAAAGTAATAGAAGTGAGTCTCCAACTGATAGTCAGAAGACTAATTCTTGTCCCAACAGTCAACACATTAAGTGGTAGGGGATTAGGGGACTGGTCAAATGGTTTGTTTTGTTCTATTCAAATGGGTGAGGATTGAATCCCCAACTTCATGCTTAAGGGACGAGGTGTTGAACTACCACGCCAACCATGTTAGTTTGAGTACTACTCTATTACAATGTAATATCTGTCCATATATATTTTTGAATTACAAACATGCCATTGAACTACAAGCTATTTTAAAAAAAATAAAATTAAAGAATGCGTCTATCGAAAGTAATTTCATTTAAACAATTAATAACATGTTTGGTACTAATTAATTTAAAAACATGACAATTAAATTCTTTAAAAAATATTTCAAATATTTGATCGAATTGTTTAAATTTTCTCAATTTTTTTTAAAGCACTAATATATCTTACTGATTCGAACCTATGACCTTCAATATGGAAGAGTCATAGTTATGGCGCTCGACCACAACATCTTTGGCTAATGTCTATGCTTCTAATCTCCCATGGATTGCAAATTTCTCTTTTATATAAATCAAATGTACAAAAAAAGTCAGTATTAAAAACACGAATATAAATCAAGATATAATTTAGATTTGAGACTTATTATGTTTTTTAGATTAGATATATTACCATCAATATCCGTGTCGTGCGGAGTAGCTAGAGTGAATTTGTTTGGCATGTAGCAGTAGATAAAAGGACAATGTCAACGGCCGGTAAGCCGTGACGACTATATATATATATATATATATATATATATATATATATATATATATATATATATATATTTCCGCCATTGGCGGCCAGACAGTTACAGACACTGATCGTTAATCGATGACCACAGCGACCGGACAGGATGGGAGAAGAAAATGAAATTTCCAGAACGACGATGCATGCACGTGCCTGTGCGTGTTAAGTTGCTGGAAAATATATCTCCATTTACTCATGATTCATCAATAGTTAAGGTTCCCGATAAAAAGTAAGAAATGATTCATTTGAATGCCAATGACCATGTGATCTAGTGGCACGAAGTGACTCTCCTTAGAAGGTTAAATCTAGAAGACGACTATGGTTGTCCCCATCGAATGTCTTGGTTGTATTTTATTTTTTCTTTTTGTTTTAAATTTTTAATAAATAATTTTTTTTTAAAAAAAACACGTGTCAAAATTGTGAAGAATTAACCTGTTAAACAAGTTAATTTGGACTCAATTGAACAATTTTACATGTTTAAGAGATTTTAATGGAGTTTTTTTTTTCTTTTTTTACTTAGTGGATCCAAATTGCACTATCCGGTTGATTTAGGGAGCCAATTTGACCCTTTTTTTTTTCATATATTGTCAAGTGCGCCACCGGGCGCACGTGCCCGTGTAGGCCTCCGTTGTGCGCGAAACGTGCACAACAGTCAAGTTTTTTTTTTTTTTTTTTTTTTTTTTTCCAGCTTAGCTTTCATTTTACTGTTCCATGGTCCGCCCCTTGCAGAAGAACCCCTTCCTTCTCTGTCTTACATTATCTCTCCTATTTGGCATTAGCTCTTAGGATTCATCATTGGCAGAGAGTTCACACACACACACACACACACACACACACACATATAGGCCTACACGGGCGCGTGCGCCCGGTGGATTATTATTATTATTATTATTATTATTATTATTATTATTATTATTTAATCAATTGGGCTTTTTCTTTTCTTTTTTTCTTTCCCCTCTCATCTTCTCTTTTCTAATCATACTCACAAAAACTTCTCAAAAACCGTAAAATAACTCCACTATTGTGGATGCTGCACTCTAATGGGCTATTTTTATAGTTCTCATTTTTTACAAGAGGACCTTGTTCTCATTTGAATACACATGAACACACTTATAGCTAATTCTCGATTTAGTTTTGTGATAAGCAAATTTTTTTATGACATGTGTTGTATATAATAAAATTTGGATGATATAATACTTAACATTTAATAAATTTTAATTAAATTACAAACTATATTTAAATTTATATTAATTTCCTTTTACATTTAACATTTTCAATTAAATTATGAAGTCTAATAATTAGTACTAGGTCAGTGTAGTGTCAACTAACGGCCGGTAACCGACTATATGGCAATTGGCGGCCAGACAATTACAACTATTTATCGTTAAGTCGTTAACTAATGACCACACCTTAATTGCGTGGATTGTGCGGCAATCTAAGCCACCAAATTCCCAGAATGAAACATGCGATATGGCAGGGAGTGTTGAACATGCGTCAAAGTCCAAGTCTGTGTTACGTTATTTTCTGCAAATTTCTCCATTTGCACTCGAGTAATATTCACTCCATAATTTTATTAACTATTAAAATTAATTAGTTTACTGCTTTCGTCGTTTTCAAAAAAAAAAAAAAACTATTAAAATTTAATTTATTTCCCTCAAATTTAACTACACTACAGACTGTATTTTTTTAACGAAGAATGACCAAATTAAAAATAAAATCAATTCAAAAGACCTACCTAGAAAACTTGTAAAGTTAAAAATAAAATTAAATAAATGTAGCTAATCAAAGTGCCATCTATTATGTAGTGTGATGACACTTCTATTACCATTTTAAATGGGTGGTGAAAACATTAATTCTTTAGGCTAAAAAAGTTTGAAAAAACATAGAATAAATACTACATTGTAATGAAATAAAGAATCATGAGAACTTTTTTCATTAAAAAAATAGTACAATATCTATCAAAAGTTAACTCTTTTGTTGTTGTCATGAACGTGTCTCTATTAATAAACATCCACTCTTATTATGAAAGTCTCCAACTCTCTATTGGACATTGGATTTAATTATTAGGAAGAAGAAATCAAACTTGTATTTGGCTACCTAGATGCAACCATTATATATTTTTATAAGCAAAAACTTGTGTGTGTAGAATTGATGCACCTAACCTTAACATTAAAATGACGCACCTTAAGTACACAAATCACACACCTTAAGCACACAACAAAATACGTACATAAAGTTTTAAAATGGCACAACTTAAGCATACAAATCACACACTTTAAGAAGGAAAACCATGCACCTAAAGCTTTAAGCCGACACACCTTAAGTTTCAACAATTGTCTCACCTTAAACATACAAATCACGCACCTTAAGAAGGAAAATCACACACTTTAAATTTGACCTAGATGTAAAAAGGTCAAATTGACACCGCATTTTTTTAATCATTGTTAATCCTGGACGTTGATTTAGGCAAAATCAATGACTCAAATTTAACCACATAAACGCACAAGACACACTCAAGTGCACGAAATCTGAATTGTATATATATACTTTTGACATTGGGACCATAAGCAAATCCTTTATGTTGGGATGAGTTAATGTTTGAATAATAATATGGCTCACCTCCTTGGTAGTTAGTGATTAGAAAAAGAATATTGCCCTTTCATATTACTTGCCAGCCAAGTTAGCAATTCAAGTAAAAATTTGATTTCTTCTTCCTAAGAAATATGATTCCAGCAGGATTCCAGTAATTGGTGAAAGCAATAGCTTTCGAGTTTTATTTTGTTTTATTTTTAATTTACATTTTCACCTTTTAAAAATACATGTTAAAGTGTTAAACAATTGACTGAATAGGTGCAAATAACTTGACCGCTTAACCTATCATTGAAACACAAGTTGGATGCCTATATATCTCCATTATCCATGGACAAATTTGTTTGGAAACAGAACATATAGCTCTTTTAACGTATAATTAAATCTATAATTAACGTTGGATTGATATGATTTCGTGTTAAGATAGTAGTACTTCAAATAAATCAAAGGGAAAAGTGGAATTGAAGCACACGCGAAAAATGAAAGTGAAAAAGATATTATCTAAGAGGAATATAGATCTGAGAGAAAATATTGAAGACAAGAACAATTTCATTATACAATGTTGATTATTTTCCTTGTATGACAACAATTTATACTAAATTATTAATGCATATAGTAATTAATTTATCACCAAATATCTTATGGTATATATGATGGTATCATTATTATCTTTCCTAATGATTAATGAAGATTTTATGTTTGAGGAAGACCAAAACAAAAATACTAATAAGTTAAGAAAGTCTTGAACAAATTAAAGAAAAAAATATAATTATTTATGAACAGTATATTATAATTCTCTTTGTACGTGTTGCGCAGGTGCAGGCGTGCAGCACCATAGTTTTCAAACTATATTATTATATATAGTTATGCCTCTCCAATTTACTTAACTAAACAAATAATAAACAACAAAATTGAAAATAAAACAAAAACCGTAACTGCAGAAAGTTCATTGTACATTTCCACGTTTTTTCCTATTAATTAATGGAGAAGTTTCACTCAACAACATTGTTTTCTTTAAAAACAAGGAATTGGTCGATGGTCGAATGATCGATCAAAGGAGGGCTATAATCTATCAGAATAGTTAAAACCTAAATTTTGAAATTAGTCAACCCTGATGCTAATTAGTCAAGGATTACATTTGTGAGAGATGACGGATTTTTATTTGTGAGACATGTTGGGTCAACATGCTAATATCACACTTATATACTCAAATGTAATACTAATTATAAATAAAAAATGTATTACTTATATTATATTTTGTATTTTGATATAAAGTATTATATTTTTCATCAAAAATATATATGTTAACATTGTGTATTCATAGTATACAAATTGTGAACATTTGAACCTGCAAAATAGACCCCGGTCCACAGAATAATTTGCGATCAACCAGTACGCAAATTATGATGTGCAAGTGTGCAACCGTGTGCACCATGCATGGTGCACACGGTTGCAAAATGACACTGTTTTACTATGATGGAGTAACGGTGCCATTAGTGGCACCGTTTAACTCCACCAATCAAATAATATTTTTTTTTCAAAAACTCACATCGACGTGTAATTATGAATATATAGTTATGCCAGTCTGAATATATAGTTATAAAGTTATGGATATATAGTTATGAATTTATGGATATATAGTTATGAAGTTATGGATATATAGTTATGCAATTATGGATATAGTTCTCTGTGAACAAGCACTCTAAGAATTCGGAATATGGAGTTATGTAATTATGAATGTCTAGTTGTGAAATTATGAATGTGTAGTTATTATTTCTGAATGTACTATTTGTCAAATTATGAATATATAGTTATGTAATTCTGGATATATAATTATGAAATTATAGATATATCCTACTGTTTGAATACGAAAGGAAACCGCCTAACACCGTTAACGACAATTTGAACAAGATTTTTTTTATTTTTATTTTTTTATAAATGAAACGGCGTCGTTTTACAACCGTGTGCACCATAGCATAACGATTGCAACCAGTATGGCCACATCAACACGTACCCATACATGTTGATTTTTGTTTGGGTATGGGTCCCGGGGATAGTTATGCTGTGCATTCGTATGCACCATGCATGGTGCATACAGATGCCAAAACGACGTCGTTTTATTAAAAAACGCGCGTCTCCCCTTTAAAAAAAATTCAGGTTCGATTCCCAGCAACAACATTATATTGTTCATTCATTCTGGAATTTTAGTTCATAGATTATGGAATTATAGTTCATTGATTATGGAATTATAGTTCATCGATTATGGAATTGTAGTTCATCGATTCTGAAATTTTAGTTTATAGATTATGGAATTTTAGTTCATTCATTCTGGAATTTTTAGTTCATAGATTAGATTATGGAATTATAGTTCATCGATTATGGAATTATAGTTCATTGATTATGGAATTTTAGTTCATATGTTATTGCTGAGAATCGAACCTGATTTTTTTTTTTAAGGGGAGACGCGCGTTTTATTAAAACGACGTCGTTTTTGCATCCGTATGCACCACAGCATAATTTGCGCAAATTATGCCGTGCAACCGAATGCACCTAGCAAGGTGCATACGGTTGCAAAACGGCGCCGTTTTACTAAAAAATGACACGGCGCGCACAAAATAAAAAAAAAAAAAAATTGGATGGCCGTTAGCGGCGTTATTCATATCATATTTGGTAGTTTTGCGATTTTTTGGTAGTTTGGCGTTTTGATTGCAGTATACGTAAAATCGCAATCGCAATAGCGATCGCAGTCGTTTTCCTGATTTATTGTATGGATCTCATGATGGATGATGCAGTAGACCAGAGAGACGAGGCATTAGATCAGAGAGATGAAGCAGGCGATGAATTGCATACGGTTCCAGGTTATTTTGCAGTTTGATTTTTATGGATTTGTGGTCGTTTGCAATTTTTGCAGTGTGATATATTGTGTAGGTGTTTATATTTAGTGTGATGTTTATTGTGTATGTGATGTTTATGTGATTCTAGTCTGAGATCATTCGTAACTCTTGGTGTTTATGTGTTTATGGTTTTCTGAATGAACGAAATATATATCCATAATCTTTGAACTATAAATCCAGAAGTTGTGAGTTATATATCCAGAATTATAGTAGTATATATCAAGGATTTTGTGAATGGATACTCTGTTCTGGATTGTATATCCATAATTATTGAACTTTTATGTCCAGAAACTGTGAGCTTTATATCCAGAATTCTATCACTATACATCCAGAATTATAATACTATACATCCACAAATTTCTAAACTGATACTCTGTTCTGGCTTTTAACACTATGCAGTCAGTGAAGATGTTGTTGTTGATTCACCAAGTTCAGATCCAATAGAGTTAGACATTGATGGTTCTTCTTCTAATCCAGGTCTATATGTAGTTTTATATGATCATAATTCACAGTGTTCAGCATTGTTATATGTTCATTCTTTTTCCATGGAAAATGTTATTCCTTTTGTAGAGCATGGCTGGATTTATTCGGCATTCCCCGCACCCCCTCTACATAGGAATTATATTTTCAATGGAACGTGTATTATTTAGTATACTTGAGGTTATATATTGCATTTGCAGTTGATGAAGATTTGGTTGGTGTTGTTGTAAGTAACGGGGTTGAAGCGTATGAGTTGTATAACAATTATGCATATAGAGTTGGTTTTAGTGTGAGGAAGGGTAATCAACGGTGCAAGGTATATAGCAAAACAGTCCAAATGAAGATGTTTATGTGTTCTAAAGCTGGTTTTAAGGTTAAGGCAAATGCTGGTGTTAGGGCATATTCAAAAATTGACACAAGGTCAGGGTGTGGTGCATGTGTTCAGTTTGACGTCGGTGAGGATGGGTTGTGGACGGTTACAAAACATGTAAAAGTGCACAATCACGAGTTATGTGCTGTAGACAAGAGTCATCTTCTGCGTTCACATAGAAATGTTGGTGATAATCAACTGTTATATTTAAAAGATTTGAAGAAGAGTGGTGTTGCAATGGCAGATGGTATTAGGTTCTTGAAACATCAAGCAGGGGGGTCTCCATTAGTTGGCTTCACTAATCGAGATGCTTATAATTCAATTGCTTCTGATACATCAAAGCGTTTGGATGGAACCGGTTCGAACTCATTAATTGAAATATTTAGGAAGAGGCAGTCGACTGAGTCTGATTTTTTCTTTGATTTTGAAGTTGATTGTGATTCAAGACTATGCAGTTTTTTTTTGGAGGGATGGTCGGATGAGACAAGACTATGAGTTGTTTGGGGATTTATTAGTGCACGATACAACTTATCGCACTAATAAATATGATATGATTTGTGGCCCTTTTGTAGGGATGAACCACCATTGCATGAATGTAATGTTTGGATGTGGTTTTCTGATGAATGAGAGGATAGAATCATTTGTGTGGCTGTTTAGAGCATTTTTAAGGTCTATGAATGAGAAATGTCCACAGACTATCATGACAGATCAATGTGCATCCATGGCTGCTGCTATTTGTCAGGTGTTTCCAACATCACGTCACCGTCTTTGCATATGGCATATTGGCGAGAATTCGAAGAAGCATATCAAGGCGTTAAGGAATAACAAGGATTTCTTAGATATGTTTAACTGTGTGTTGAAATACACAGAGACTGAAGCTGAGTTTGAATTTTATTGGACAAGGTATGTCCACTACTTTTTTTTTTTTCCTTTTTCGATTCCAGTAATTGAATTATGGATGTTTAGTATTAGAATTATGGTCATATAGTATTGGAATTATGAATATATAGTATTAGAATTATGTGAACATGTTGTAGTATAGAATGGAACTTCTTGATTTTTCCTGAGTTACATGCATTTAATTTATGGATTTATAGTTTTGGAATTGTGAATATACAGTGTTAGAATTATGGACATATATTATTAGTTGTCTGAACATGTATTAGTGAAGCAGTGAGCTTCCTGTTTGTCTCTAAATTATATGCATGCAATTTATGGATTTATAGTATTGGAATTGTGGATATATAATATTACAATTATGGATATATAGTATTAGTTGTCTGAACATGTAGTAGTGAAGCAGTGAGCTTTCTGTTTGTATTATATGCATTCAATTTGTGGTTTTATTATATTGGAACTGTGGATATATAGCATTAGAGTTCTGAACATATATCTTATCATTTCAGGTTGGTGACTGACTACAAGTGCCACAAGAATAGTTGGATACAAAAGCTGTATGACTGTAGGGAGAAGTGGTGTCCAGCATTCAATAAGGACTATTTTTCAGGGGGCATTTTATCATCGCAAAGGAGTGAAACTACTAACCATTCGATTTCAAGAAGGTTGTCCAAGACTGCAGGTCTATGTGATTTTTATTCATCGTTTGTTAGTGTAACTTCTGAATGGAGGAGCAAAGAGAATGGTGAAGACTTTCGTTGTACTCAAGGGGTACCCAACATGATGATGGAGCACGTGAAACTTCTGTTACACGCTAGAGAGGTATATACGATTGAGATATATTTTTTGTTTGAGGAACAATTCATGAAAGGCAATGCCTGTCATCAAGAAATGGTGTTGAATGAAGGTTGTCAGTTCAAGTATCACGTATGGCGTCCAGATATAGATATTATAAGGCATGAAGTCAGTTTTAAGTTGTCAACCTTAGACATTTCGTGTAGTTGCAAGTTGATTTCGGAGTTAGGAATTTTATGCTGCCATTGTTTACGCATTCTTCATATACACTGTGTTTCAAGTATTCCTAACAAATATATCATGAAAAGGTGGACTAAAAAGGTTGCTGATGGTAGGGATGTGAATACTGGTTCAATGTTTTGTAGAGCTGGTGTCCCTCCTTCAATTTGGGTTGTGGAGATTTGCAGAAAGTTTCAAAGATTGATTTCATCTAGTCAAGATAACAGTGTAACTAGGCAGTTCTGTGATGAAGCAGTTGAGGAAGCAAAGAAAAAGGTTGAAGCTGAGATTAGCTATGTGCAAATTGAAGAGTGCGGTGTTTCATCTTCAAGTGGTGTCATTCAAAATCCTTCAAACCGGAGATCAAAAGGTGAGCGTAACGTAAGGAGGAGTAGTGTTATTGAAAAGAAGTACAGTGCTGCAAGGGGGAGGAGGAGTGCTGCAAATAAAGTTGCTTCGAGTACAAAAGGTGCTGTTCAGTCGTTGGTTTTGGAAAGTCTATCTGAGATTGCCGGGGATGGGTACCTTGTACATCCAAGTTTTGGGAGTTCGGAGTTTTGTCAGTATAGTAATGATGTAGATGATAATGCAGTTGTAGATTGAGAGTGGGGTTAATACCAGTTGGTAGCTAGCTGTTTTGAGGATATCAATTTACAAGTTGTTTGATCTGTGTATTCAAAATTTTAGTACTTGTTGATTTGCAGGTTTGAAGCTATATATCCATAATATTAAAGCTACATATCCATAATACTAAAGCTATATATCCATAATATTAGAGCTATACATACATATTCTGAGAACTATATGACCATAAAATATTGGAATTGTGTGTCAAATTAGTAAAAGTGTTCATAATGTTATATCATTATATCCACAATATTAAAGCTATATATCAATATGTAAACTGGTGAACTTGATGTTTACACTTATGTAAAATGTAAGTTCACAGCTGAACGAATATTCATAACTTTATATCAATATGTCCACAATCTTAAACCTATATGTCCATAATTCTGAGAACTATATGACCACAAAATATTGGAATTGTGTGTCAAATTAGTAAAAGTGTTCATAATGTTATATCATTATATCCACAATATTGAAGCTATATATCAATATGTAAACTGGTGAACTTGATCACTTATGTAAAATGTAAGTTCACAGTTGAACGAATATTCACAACTTTATATCAATATGTCCACAATCTTAAACCTATATGTCCATAATTCTTGAAATATGAATATATGAATATTTGAACGGTATGTTTATACTTATGTAAGATGTTCATAATTTTATATCCATACATCCACAATCTTAAACCTACATGTCCATAATATGAGAACTATATATTCAGTGAATTTCATAGATCGAATTTCAAAAATTGTGATAGAGTTGTTACAAAACAACCATAAGAACAGAAAATATTAAAATATTCATCCACAAAAACATTCATTGATCTTTCCAGTTTTACTTCTTCTTGTCTTCAATCTTTGCAGCTTTCTTGACCTCGCCTTTGACGCTGTTCAGCTTTGACATGATGATACAAGCAGCATACTTTGCCCTCAACTCAAGAATGAAGCTAGCCTGTAAAATAAGAAAAATAAATAACTAGTTCATTGTAATTTTTTCATCACTTTTTGATGTAGTTGGAATGTAATATATTTATGTTACTCTTACATTCGTGCGCATATGTTTCTTGAACCCAGGATCCCAGTTCTCGAGAGCTCCACCCATGTAACTCTCCATATGCCGCATTACATATATGCCACAGTCGGTGACATTCTCTGCATTTTTCCAGTGCATGGCAAGGAACTCTACTGGCATGCTGTTCAGTTTGTGAGTCAAGGTGGATTGTCCTGCTTCCAGGTACGCCTTGAATGCTTCAATCTGGTAAAAAATTAGCTCAATGTTCATAATGTTTTAAATTCAATATATAGGTGACAATAAGGAGATTTTTTAATATAATATAAGCTACCAGTTTGTATGGACAGTCTCCATATTTATCAAGCTCTGAAACACCAGCAGGCAATTCCTTGTTGTCTATCACCTGAACCTTGGATTCCTTGACATTTATGCACACAACAAAGTAGTGTGCATGGCGATGCACTGGGAAAAATATCTAATTCCAAAACAAAAGGTTATTATTTGAAACAACTACATACCCAGGTACTGTTAACTGCATGGGTATACATTCATATTTGACAGAGTACTATATATCCATAATTATAAAACTATATATCCACAAAATTCAGAAATTTATAAAGATCTTAATAAGCCGAGTATATTCCAAGCTTCAAGCATATAAATCCACAAATTAATAACTATACATCCAAAAACTACATTACCATATATCCAGAATTCTTAACAGCCTGTTCACAGAGTAATACATTCATATATTAACAGAGTACTACATATCCATAATCACATAACTATATATCCACAATTTTAAGACTATATATCCACAAATTCAGAACTTTATAAAGGATCTTATTAAACTTTGTATATTCCAAGCTTCATGCATATATATCAATAATAAAATCTTAAATTATTAAATTAAGTGTGTGTAATAGATCTTACAAGGTCTGCATCACTGATTTCCAGGTTTCCAAAACTTGATATTTCATAATTCAATCTATCATTGAAATTTTCCATCCTTTTCTCAGCTGGGAGACTTTTCATCCAATCATCAGATGGATCAAGCTGCAGCTGTTTTTGAATACACAGAAATGCAAAAAATGAGTATTCAAAAGGCTTAGAGTACTAGATTTTTAAAAATGCGCATTTGCATGTCAAAAATAACTCTTACATGTGGCAGTGTGGTGAAGAATACGCGTTTTGGTATCCCAACAGCACGTTCTGTGTTCTTCAAAGTTAGCCGCAAAGACCAAACATTCAAGAAGTCTATATCCAACTCACCATTGCTCAAAGTTGAGAAGTGACGCCTTGTTAGGTAGTAGTCACCATAGCTGAACAGCAACTCACTACAGCACCAAAATAACAATAATAATAATAACACCAATAGTTATAATAATATGAACTATCTAAGTAATTTAAAGGTTATTATAAATATATGTGTTCAAACATACTCTTCTGGGTGTTCGGTAGACACACTCAAGAATGCATAGTTTGAAATGATTTTTTCCCGTGGAGTTGTAGTGCGTATAAAACCTGCATTCTGTGTCCAGTATGGTGACCTCAAACAAAGAGGTTTGTTCCTGAATCGTCGCTGGGGTCTCATCCTAACAGTCACGTCATCAACATCAGACTCACTTTCTTGCATGGCACTGTTGTTTATATATCCACAGCATTAGAACTTTATATCCATAATATTAAACATATATGTACATAATCATAGAACTATATATTCACAGATTTAAAATGTTCATAATTTTATATCTATATATCCACAATTTTAAAGCTATATGTCCACAGTTGTAAAAATGTTCATAAGTTTATATTCATAATTTTAGCACTATAAATTCATAACGTTAAAGCCAAATGCAAATAACAAACTGTAAATTTACCAATCAAAGTCATCAACATCAGCATCAGTAGCAGCGGCATGACGAACATATCTCTGAAATGGGACCCTAACAAGTGGAGGAGTTACTTGTGCTTCCAAGGTCGTTGACAGTCCTGCATCCTCTCCAATTTGTTGAACCAAAGCATCCAATGGTAGGTCCTCTTCAACTACTTGCTCTGTGTGTTGCTCACATGGCTGCGGTTGCGATTCATTGCAGTGTATTCCCAAATCAAATGATGGAGCTTCAAATTCCATGGTTCTTGTTGTCTTCTGAAATGCTTCCACCAATGAATCCACTGCAGCGGTGAAAGTTTCACTCCCAAAGAATATGTCATCCAACTGAGATTCAGTTGGAATGGAAGTTGATTCAATTGCGCTTGCAGCACCTAGCATGTTTGATATCCCTGAGAACGCTTTCTTCATGACTTCAATAGGTGCGCCCTGCTTTCCAATTTCAGACATAGCTTCACCAAACTCCAGGACATCTGATGCTAGCTTTTGGAGCACACGGGTCACCCGATCAACACTTGAGAGTGGCTCACTTGTAGTTGGTGTCGGTGTTGCAGTAGCAGGAGTAGAAGAAGTAGTAGCAGCAGCAGTAAATGCAGGTTGTGGTAGTGAGGTTGTAGCAGCAGCAGTGCCTGCAGGTTGTTGCAGTGAGGTGGTAGCATCAGTCCTTGGCTTCTTAACTCTAGGGATAACCCTTCCCTTTCCAAACCCACCAGCCCTTTTTTCAGCCTTGACTCTCTTTCTTACAAGCGTGGTTGTCCAAGCAAGTATGCTAGGGTATGTCCTGTTGATCTTCATTCCTTTGAATTCTACTCGATCAAAGTAGAACAGCTACAAATTACAGAAGATTATGTTAAAGATGAATTTAGAACAATTTATCCATGTATTCTTAATTGCATGGTCACAGTGTAATGCATAACTATATGTCCATAATCACATAACTATATATCCATAACTTTAAAACTATATATCCACAAAATTCAGAAATAAAAAATGATATTAATAAAATGAGTATATTCCAAGTTTCATGCATATATGTCCATAAACCCATAAATATACATCCAAAAACACATTAATATATATCCAGAATTATTAGCAGTATGTCCACAGAGTAATACATACATTTATTCACAGAGTACTACACATCCATAATCACATAACTATATATCCACAATTTTAAAATTATATATCCACAAATTAAACTGCATAAAGGACCTCATTAAACTGAGTGTATTCCAAGTGTCATGCATATATATCCATAAACCCATAACTATACATCCAAAAACACATTAATATATATCCAGAATTATTAACAGTATGTCCACAGAGTAATACATTCATATATTCACAGAGTACTATATATCCATAATCACATAACTATATATCCAATTTTAAAACTATATATCCCAAATTAAACTACATAAAGGATCTTATTAAACTGAGTATATTCCAAGTTTCATGCATATATATCCATAATAAATTGTTAGTTATACACGTACAACTACATAAAATTCATGCAACTAGATTAAAGACAATAAGAACTGACCAATATCAATGTCATTGGCCCCCAAAAGCTTCTCTTTCTATCTTCATTGTAACTATCTATCGAGTCAATGAGAGATTGGTATGTGTAGGCACACCAATTGTACTCTTTAATCATATCAACATCAATCAATGAGTTTAAGATCCTGTACTTGGAGTAGCGTGTTGTGTTTCCTCGAAGCATGGAGGAAACGACAAGACTACGAAATCCCTCTTGAACTCATCACCATGATCAGCTCTCCTAACAATCTCATCTGGCATCTGTGTAGTTATTGGCGAGCCTGCTGTAATACCCCACCTCCTTCTCCATGAAGTCAGCAGCAGTTTGTATTCACGGGTTGAGGTGTCTTCCATCTTTGTCCCCTCATTGACCTTCAGAGGCCCTCGCGGGATTCCCAACGTGTATTCGACATCTTCCTCTTCAATGTGGAGACTATCATCCTCTAATACAAAATCACACCTGCAAACATTAAAGTTGTCCAGCAGGTATTGCACCAACTTTGATTCATTGGTGCAGAGTTGGAGATGAAGAAGTCCACCAAATCCAGTTTCTACGACAGCTTGTTTCTGTCGTGGTGAGAGCCTCTGGACAAGATCAAACATCAGCTTTGGCCCCATCCTCGTATTGAAGTAATCTCTCCTGTGTTCTCTAGTTCGTCGGCGCCGTCTCGTTGAAGTCTCTGCAACAGTTGTTTCCTTAGCAGGGCGTGAGCGCTGAGCTGCTTGTGAATTTAGGGCTGCTGCTGGTTGTTCACTAGTTGGATTAGAGCTCTGAGCTGCTTGTGAATCTAGAATTGCTGCTGTCCGGTATCTGTTCTTCTTCTTTTTGTTTCTCTAAAAGCCTCAGCCAGTGTAGGTTCACGAGCCATTTCTGTAAATAAGAATTATTAAACTATACATCCATATTATCACAACTATTTGTCCACAAACATTTCAGAACACACTAATTGAAGACAGGAATGATATTTTCATACATGCATAAGTATTAAACTATAAAACCACAAGTATAAAGCTATATATCCACAATATCACAACTATTTGTCCACAAACATTTCAGAAACACAATAATTGAAGAGAGGAATGATATTTTCAGACATGCATAAGTATTAAACTATAAACCACAATTATAAAGCTATATATCCACAATATCACAACTATTTGTCCACGAACATTTCAGAAACACAATAATTGAAGAGAGGAATGATATTTTCAGACATGCATAAGTATTAAACTATAAAACACAATTATAAAGCTATATATCCAAATATCAACTATTTGTCACAAACATTTCAGAAAAACACTAATTGAAGACAGGAATGATATTTTCACACATGCATAAGTATTAAACTATAAAACCAACAATTATAAAGCTATATATCCACAATATCACAACTATTTGTCCACAAACATTTCAGAAACACTAATTGAAGACAAGAATGATATTTTCATACATGCATAAGTATTAAACTATAAAACCACAATTATAAAGCTATATATCCACAATATCACAACTATTTGTCCACAAACATTTCAGAAACACAATAATTGAAGAGAGGAATGATATTTTCAGACATGCATAAGTATTAAACTATAAAACACAATTATAAAGCTATATATCCACAATATCACAATTATTTGTCCACAAACATTTCAGAAACACACTAATTGAAGACAGGAATGATATTTTCGAACATGCATAAGTATTAAACTATAAAACCACAAGTATAAAGCTATATATCCACAATATCACAACTATTTGTCCACAAACATTTCAGAAAACCAAAAAAACAATCAAACAAACAGAAAAAAAACAGAGTATTGATCTGTTTGAGAAAAATGCAAAATCGTGTTGCAAAACCCTAGTCAAAAATAACAAGAATATACAGCGAATATGAATGTTAACAGTCAAAAAACACAAAAATACATTATACCTGATGGAGAATGCGATGATAAAAGGCGACAATGCTAGAATGAAAATGGCGAAAATGGCAACAATGGTGAACAAAACACGCTCCGGCGACAATGAGATGAAGACGACGAAAATCGCGACTCCGAGTAGACAGAGAGAGAGATGAAGACTGCTACAGTGCGAAGGAAGTGTGTAGCTTGTTAGAGACGAAACGTTGGAAATGGCGGAAAAAGGAGTATAGTGGCGTTTTATGGCAATAATAATAATATTTTTTTTTAAATATCGGATGAGTGAAACGGTGCCACTAACGGCACCGTTACTTCCCTGGCACTATACGGTGCCGTTTTCAACCGTGTGTACCAAGAACGGTACACACGGTTGCACGGCATAACAATTGCATAATTTGCTTATGGGCTTTCCTTAGCAAGTTAGCATGGGGCCTAATCCTCTTTGCTTTTTTTGCACTGGGCTAGTTTAGTCCTCCCTATTTCTAAACTATTGTCATCAAGTTACCAAAATTCTTCGTACAAAATTATTGTCATCAAATGCATTCTTTAAAAATATTTCTCCATAAAGAAAGTACAAAACGCGTACTATTAATACTTTCTCTACCAGCCTCTCTGTGACCTTCCCCAAAGAGAACCACAAATGTAAAATCTAAGCTCAAGGTGATTGGTTACCAAAATATTCTTAATTTAAAAAAATTGTAATATTTATAGATTGAAAAATTATTTTAAAAAAAGGTATAAAATACGTATAAGGACCCAACCAATCCCACTAGATGGAGTTTTTGCCACAAAAGAAAATCAAGAAATAAAGATATCCTAAAAGAAAGAAGTATGCAATCTTCTCTTCCATTATCGTCTTTCAATCCAGAAAATTTTGTTGGGCGGCTTCAATTCGCCTCTGGGTAGCAAGCCAAGAACATAAGGTCTGGGTCTTTTCTTGAGGAGAAGCTTTACACGGTTGAGATAAATTTGGAATTGATGAGGCGAACATCCGGCAAGCACCGTAGGTTTTGTTCGTGAAGGTTTCGAAGCGGTTGCATAGCGTCCAGCACTTGGATGAAATGCAGTATTCCTTTTCCTCTTCGCCGACGTACACGATCACGTACCCCTTCGGAACTCCGGCGGCGCCGCCATGCCTGGTGTTCCACCAGTGAAACTTGTTCTTCATGAAATTCTGAATCTTTCTGCCAATACTGCCATATCTGATCTGATCTGATCTTTAGTCGATGAATATAATTCAAGCAAAAAGTGATTGCACAATGTTTCTTTGCTGAAAGCTATCGAATGCGTTTTGGATACACAGGCAGCGCAGATCAGGCTTTTAAAGATCATCTTTTTGATTCCCAATATTATCAGGACTGAGATTCTCCAACGAATTTCTATTTTGATTTATACAAGGAAAAGGAAAAGGAAATTAAACTACTTTGTTTATTTGTTTGTTATTATTATTATTATTATTATTATTATTATTATTAACAATGGGTTATTTTTAGTTCTCATTTTTTACAAGAGGACCTTAGCTTGTTCTCATTTAAACACACACCACACACATATAGCTAATTCTTGATTTAGTTTTTTGATAAGAATTTTTTTTATGACGTGTTAAGTAAAATTTTGGATGATATATAATACTTAGAATTTAATAAATTTTAATTAAATTACAAATTATAATTAAATTTATATTAGTTTCCTTAATAAATTAAATGGTAGTTGATTTGAAGTGAGTGGACTCACACAAAATTGAGAAAATCTTGGATGAGAAAAATCTTGGATTTATGGGAATGTAATAAAAAAATTTCACTATTCGAAAAAAAAAAGGGAGAGAGAGAGAGAGCATGCAATTTTAGAGATTTATTGTGATAATGAAAGTTGACGTTGGAGATTATGAAACCCAAAAAAAGTTAGGAAAAATCAAAAGCAGGACGATCTCTAATTGTTTTGATTTAGTTATTAGGGAGAAGGAGATAAAGAACAAACCGCGTATTTAGGCACCTAGATGCAACCAGGACCGGAGCCCGGAAATTCGTTGAGAAAGGCGAAGCCAGTAGGGACGGATTCAGAAATTTTTTTCAGTGAGGGAAACGTTAAAAAAAGATTATTATAAAAAAAATAATTAAGATAATTGGTATATAATCTTGTTGATATGAACAATAAAATAAAA